CCGGGGGGGGGGGACGGGGTGGGAGGTGCCATTCCATGTTTTGCTTCATGGGCAGCGCCCCCCTAAGTAGCAGTTCGACGCACGGCATGTTGAAATGCTGTGTACCTTCTGCTCCTCAGACCCGTAACTTGATGCAACAAAGCTTGATGACTTGTTGCACACGATTAGCTCCACGTTATTCCCTACCCGCCCCCGCCCCCGCCCCCCTCGCCCCTTACGGCCTCACCACCTTCTGATTACCGTTTGCTGCGCGTTCAACTCTCCGCCCCCGGCTTATTGTCGCTTCCAGGACGGCTTCTTGACTCTGGTCATCCCGATGATCCGTTTCACTGGCGGCATACCCGTGCTGGTCCACAGCCGACGCTCCCCTCCAGAAGAGAGCGCTCCGGCGGGTGCAGGAACACCGGCTTATCCGGACGGCCACAGTAAGGAAACGGCTTTATGGGACCTTAGGGTGAAGGTCGACCTCAACGGCTGACTCACTCCTCCTCGGCAAGGCTACACAAAATGGCGATAACATGAGCAGTGGTGGCCCTGGGATGGGCGGTGGCGGTGGGAGTGAAGGACAGGGGGGATCATCTGAGTTGATGTGCGGAAAAGCCCGAGGGGATGGCTACCGTGTACCCCGAGGACCCCCAGCTTTGATATCCGCGCACACCACGACACGGAAGGAGCAAAGGAGGTATATTTCTTAAGAAGGAGCAAATGGTGCGTATTACAGCAGCCGCAAGTTGCCCGGTGTGTTCGCAGTCGGTCGGCTAGGCGTGCGTTGTGTCTAAACTTGTACGTAGCTGCATATATATGCGTTTTGTTGGGTTGGGTCTTGGACACTGCCCTCATGACGCAGCGAAGGCGTTTCGCAGCTCCTATGCATACCCGATAGCACCATGATGGCTATCATGAGAAATAAGATAATCCTCCGAAACACGAGTACCAGCTTCATCTGTGTACCATGCATACTACTGCGGTCTCTTCCCGTAACCAACAACATGAAGGTTGACCGCCGCCATGGACGTTGTGGTCAGGACTCGCCGTAACTGCTCGTGACCGCCTTTTTGTGCAACATGTTTTCATCAAAGATGGACGGGACATCCAAAGTAGAGAGCGTTGTATTGCATGATGGTGTGCTACATACTGCACACGCCAAGATTGTTCCAGTGTGGAGGTGACCTTGAAAATGGTCCCAAACATTAGTTGCGATTAGCAAAAAATAAATGGGTGCGTCGGTTCACCCTCGCCCCCCCACCCATCCCCGAAGAGCATTGGCATCGTGGCTGTAAAATCAAATGCCACGGAGAGTGGTACCTCGTGAGAGACGGAACTCACCGGGCGCCTAACAGATCTATTAAAAACTGTAGACGAGACATACCTTCCAAATGATTCATGTGGACCGGTGCCCAGCAGGAAGTAGACTAACCACGGGATAGACGTTTGCGTTCTCGATCCCAAACACGGAAACGGACGCCTGCTGTAGGTACATGTAGACCACGCTGTACATGTAGAAGACGTGTCCGTACCCACAGATACGAGTCCGGGACACACAGCAGTGAGTGACAAACTGGTGGCAGAAATAGTCGCCAGAGGCGGCACACGAACCACAAATTCTCCCGGGAAATTTCTGTTGCACAAGAAATTTGACTCTCGGGGAGAAATACAGTGTACTTTCACAAACAAGGAAGATCCGGATACTGCTGTGCAGGTGCACGTCTCTCTTTCTCTTCTCGCTCGGATCCCCTCTATCAATCGGTATCACCTTTGTTGCTCGCTACCCTGCTACCTTGAGGTCTCACCATTATCAAGAGGCTTATTTCGTCGTCAGCGAACAAAAGAAAAGCATGCCAAAGGTCGGGCTGCTGGGCCACTTCGTGGTTGGCAAGTCCCGCTCTAGCGGCATGTGCAGTTGCAGCTGTGCAAGCAAGTACGCACGCTGCAGTTTACCCGCATGCGGGCAACATGAGGCGGCATCCGTTTTGCCGATTGCGTGTGGCTGCTGAGGCTCTTCCTTCTTTCTTCCCGTCTGCGAAATGGCAGGGAGGGCTTCAATGACGCCAAGATGCGCTGTGTCTGACAGACAGCAAGTACAGCAGTAGTAGAAGCTCGGTGATTTTTTACCAACGATTTCTTCTCGGGTGATGATTTCAGTCAACGACTGAAATGGGATTTCTTCAGCGTAGCTATGGATGCCCTCTACTCTTGAGGGTCATAAGAGTTGGGGACCCTCGGAGCACAGCAGTAATCTATTATCACATATTCCCTCAAAGCCTACTCGTTAGGTATACGTGTATCTGTGCTCGCTGAATCTCCATATCCTGACCTCCACATACTTAGAGCAGCTTTCAGGTTTGCGCTGACTGCAATTAGCACTCGGAGGTGTTGCCGGTTGACCCCTTCGCGAAGCCAGGTGACATATAGTCTAGACTACATGAATTCATATTGTTGCTATCGCTGTCCCATCACACCATGCATCGCCGGATTCAAATCAATTGTTGCTGTAATGTGGAAAATGATGAAGCCTGATTGCTTCTCAGCATCTAACTGCTGTGTAGATAACTAGTTGCTCTTCTTCTTCTTGAAGGACTTTCGAAACTTGCGCCGACAGCTCCAGCAGGCTTTACGACATCAGTCATGATTCTTGTCATGTGCACCGACCAATGACTAACACTGCTTTCGCCTCTCATGGCTTTGGCTTGGCGTACGAGTCAGTAGCATCACAATGGTCACACACCGCCGCTCAATCAACCGAAAATACAGCACGTACGTGGGTGGTGTGGATGACGGTCAGATCTCTCAACAATATTTTCTTGCTCGTAAAACGTGCCGAACGAATGGATAATGTATGTCCGGCTCATCCCTTGAAGAAAACAAACCTAAGATATTGCAGAGATATGTCTCGTCACACGGTGATGCATACTGCTATCAGTGCAGATTTGAGACCAGAGGCTTCGGTGCGGATGAAGAAACAGTGGCGACCTCCTACCTCCACAGCGCCAGAGTTTTTGCTGATGACTTCCACGTGGAGATTAGAGTAAACCGGCCAATTAACGAACGCTTAAGCCACCCCTCGCGCCAACAGCTCGTTCTCGGGCATGAAGAGGAGTATGATGTATTTGTGGGTACCGGACGATAGCTTGTATTATAGGCTACCTCCCTAAAA